ACACACACACATACAGCATCTCTGTTACTCCCTCCTCCCAAGAGGAGTATCCCAGAGGCGGAAAGGACAGGAAGGTGACTGAACCCTCCTTACCTAGCAGCCACCCTGAAGGTGGGCTTTACATACCTTATCTGGCAGAAATGACCGAACAAGGACGGAAGAGTGGGCTCCAAGCCTGTTCATTGCACTTTTCTCCCGGTGCCCTCTGGATGGGCAGAACTGTAGTTTTAAGCTCAGGCTCTGTGGTTGGATAGGATCCACGATAGCCCAGAATAGCTTTATAACCTACATAAGAGCTGAAACAATTGAAAATGCTTGCATAGGGCACTGGGACGCTTGCCTATCATAAGGGACACCCTGAGTTCCATACCTTCCCTGGGTTCCATTTCTTGAGCTGAGACTTACTTTCTTACCTGTCTATTATTTACAAACTGAGATAGTCTGGACACCGAATTTGCCTGGGTATTTTTAAAGGTTTTATTGTGGAATATTTTTAAAGCATGCAAAAGTATAGATGATGCTATGATGTACCCCAACTGTACGTGTTAACGTGACCTTTACAAATTCTTAATGTATAGAGTCACTAGTTTAGAGAAAAAGCATCAAGAGACGGAATGACTGGATTGAAAGTGCAGCCCTACAAGAAGAGGAAAGGAAGGTAGGAAGGAAGGAAAAAAAAAAGAAAAAACCCTAGTTTTACCAATTAGTCTCGTCAACTAGAGTACATTATTTTATTATATAAATTCTGTTTAACCTTTAAAATGAAGAGGCCATTTTTTTTTTCTTCGCAACGGATTAATTTGAGTCTGGTGACAATGATATGTATGAGTCTGTCCCAGAATCCACATTAAAAGATAATGTGGGTCGGGCGGTGGTGGCGCACGCCTTTAATCCCAGCACTTGGGAGGCAGAGGCAGGCGGATTTCTGAGTTCAAGTGTTCGAGGCTAGCCTGGTCTACAGAGTGAGTTCCAGGACAGCCAGGACTACACAGAGAAACCCTGTCTCGAAAAACGAAAAAAAAAAAAAAAAGATAATGTGGTAGCTCCCAACACTGGGGAGGCAGAGTTAGGTAGATCCCTGGGGCTCTGTGCCCAGCCATCCTGGCCTGCTAGGTGCGGTGTGGGCCAGTGAGAGCCCCTATCTAATAAAATGCGGACAGCTCCTGAAGAATGACTCCTAAGGTGGTTCTCATACCTCCATATGCTCTCTTGCACACATGAAGATACACATGAGCATATATATGTGCACATAAGAAAAGAGAGAAATGCTTGGTCAAGCGCGGTATACAGTAGCACTCACTATGTTATTATTTATTGCTCTTTGATCCTCAGAGAGCCTTGCACACTTATTACCCTCCTCACCTCACACCCTAGCCTGCTCAGAACTGTGGCTATTCAGCGAGCCCTTTCTTGAGTACCCAAGGAGGAAGAAAGATTCTCTGGCCCAGTTGTCTATAGAGATGACCGATCAGGTATGGATCAAGAATACAGCCCACTGGTAGATATTGTTTAGAGTATGCAAAGCCCGGGATTTGAATCACAACACCTAAAAAAATATTAAGAAGAAAGAGGAACCCAGTGTGGTGGAGAATGACTGTAATCCTAGCACTTGGAAGACTGAGGCAATAGGACTGCACATGTGAAGCTAACTTGTGCTGTACAGTGAGACTCTCTTTCCCTTGCTTAAAGAAAGCAACAACATACATATTAAATTTTATGTGTATAAAATCTATGTTTACATGTATAGGTGTTCTGACTGAATGTATGTCTGAAATTATATATTTTTTGAGTTACAAGTTACAAGGATGTACACCATGCACACAGAATACATTGAGAGTTTCTGCCGGAGGACCAGGAGTGTGCCTTTCATTTTAGAGGAAGAGGCAGATAGGTCTCGGTGAATTCCTAATCTACACACCAAGCAGAGTTCCAGGACAGCCAAGGCTACATAACGAGATCAGGATTCTGTCTTCAGAGACCCTGAAGGACATGAGAAACACTAGAGAAAACTAGACTATTGTTTGCTTGTTTAATGTGTGTGTGTGTGTGTGTGTTGGCTCCCCTGGAGCTGGACTTAGAGGCATCTGTGAACTACCTGGCATGGGTACTGGGATGCAAACTCTGAACCTCATGATGGAGCAGCAATGCTTAACTGCTGAACCATCTCTCCAGCCTCCAAATTGTAGAATTTAAAAATTACTGATGACACTAACAACTTACACCACAATCTTGTGTAACACCTCTCTTGTGATATCTTTAAGTAAAAGTCACTTTGTTGGAAGAGCTGGAGAAATGACTTAGCAGGAAAGAGCAATTGTTATTATTCAGCGCCTACAGAGTGGCCCACAACCACCCATAACTTCAGTACCAGGGAATCTGATGCTGTCTTCTCACCATCCTAAGGCCCCCACCCCCAGGCACATGCATGGCGCACATGCATACATGCAAGCAAATTTACTCATCCACGTAAAACTAAATACATCTATAAAACATAATAAAATGTTTATAAAATCAACTTTTGCTTTATGCCTTTACTAGTAGGGAATTAAATCTAAATCATTTCGATATTCTCATCTACGAAGTTGTGACATTTTGGATTCTTAGGTGGAGCACAGGATTATGAAAAGGCCTTGCATAAGAACTTGCTGTAGAAAGCTATATATCCCAGCAGTGACTACAAGATTCTTGAGGTATCTTTAGCATGGTATTATTTCTCAAGTACTTATTTATTAATGAAGTATCGATCTGTAACTTTAGCTGGCTTGGAACTGGCTATTCAGAACAGGCTGTTTTCAAACTCATGTAATTCCCGTCTCGGCCTCGGCCTCTGGAGTGATGGGATTACAAACATGTGCTATCATTCTTGGTATTTTGAGATTTCTTGAGCATCTTCATCTATTTTATGCTCAGTACTGAACTGCACTCCCACCCCCCTCAGGTTTCCTGCCCTTGTGTTCTCTCTCTCTCTCTCCTTCCGTCCTTCCATCCCCTCCTCCCTCTTTCCTATGTGTGTGTGTGTGTGTGTGTGTGTGTGAGAGAGAGAGAGAGAGAGAGAGAGAGAGAGAGAGAGAGTTTGAGACAGGGTCTCATATAGGCCAATCTGCCTTTAAGTTTCTATTTTCAAAAGGATTTATGAAACCTTTATAATTCACACTCTTAATCCCAGCACTAAGAAGGAAAAGACAGGTGGATTTCTTTATGGCAGAAACAATCGGTCTCTGTCTCTGTCTCTGTCTCTGTCTCTGTCTCTCTCTCTCTCTCTCTCTGTGTGTGTGTGTGTGTGTGTGTTGTGTTTGTCTGTCTGCCTCTCTGAAAGAATTTCATGTAGCCCAGGCTGGTTTGGAATTTGATACCTATTTTTCTTGTCAAGTTGCCCTACTGCCAGTACTACAAGACTCTTATATCACCCTTGAAATCTCATCATATTTAATATATTCTTAATGATCTTGTTCATTTATTTTATATTTTCTCCTCTGTAACATACAATGTCTTATTTATTGCTCCGTTGCTATTTCTGGAAGCAGATTAAGAATACTCACATTAGTGTGCAAAATTTAGAGTATAATCATTTTTGACAAAGCAATATGGTTTTTATTTTAAGGTGTACACAAGCCCATATGGTGGATGTCTTCTTCCTATGAAGAAGCTTTCATAGGTTTCACAGCTTCTCTTTGTAATTTCTTCATACAGAATTTCAACTTTTTTTTTACTCAATTTAAAATTTATTGGCGGAGGTTGGGGGTTGGACAGATGGCTCAATATATACATCTCCTGCTCTTCTAGTGGGCCCTAGTTTGGTTTCCAGCACCTACATCAGGAATCTGACAATTACCTGTAACTTTTAGGCCTCCTTGACACCCGCACAAACTCGCTCCCTCCATACTCAGAGTTAATACTTTTTTTTCCCTAGTAGGGTATGGTAGCCCATAAATGACTGTAATCTCAACAGTGAGCCTGTGGAGGAAGGAGGATCAAGAGTTGAAGGCCAAGCTGGGCAGTGGTGGCACACGCCTTTAATCCCAGCACTTGGGAGGCAGAAGCAGGCGGATTTCTGAGTTCGAGAGTTCGAGGCTAGCCTGGTCTACAGAGTGAGCTCCAGGACAGCCAGGGCTACACAGAGAAACCCTGTGTCAAAAAACAAAAAACAAAACAAAACAAAAAAAGAGTTGAAGGCCAGCCTTAGCTAAAACAGACCCTGTCTCAAAAAACCTAGAACAAACAGGTTGTATGCTCTGGGGATGCACTGGTGCTAAGGTACTACTCTCATACTATGTTATCTTATTATATTTTTGAGGTTAGTCTTGTTAGATAGTTTAGGACAGCCTGGAACTTGTGACCTCTGTATTTCAGTCTCTCCAGTGCTGGGATTGCAGGCACGCACCACCATACTCTGTGTTCTTGCACACTTTGACTCTTCTCGAGAACTCCTTAATGGTTCATAGAAGATTCAGTTAAGTAGGTTGGGGATGACAGTTCTGTGGCAGCATGCATGCTGAGTATACAGGGTATGCCAGGGGTTCAGGGTTCAAACCCTAGCACCACGGGGAAAAATTAAAAGTTTGAGTCGGAGGATTCAGCTGCTTCTGCTCTCTCTTTTCAACAACTCCCGAGGTCTTATAGAAGAAAGAATTATCTGTCTTCGAGTCAAATATCTGGTTCACAGGTAACCGAAGCTACAAAGCGTTGCAGTTGCTATGGCTCCCGGCGCCCGGAGTCTGACGTCAGTCACCGGCGCCGAGTGATTACGCAATGACTTCCGGCGCCTTTCTCGAGCCGGGACGCGGGGAGGAGAAACTTAGCTTTTAGTGTGGCAGGGTCATGAAGAGGAGGCGGTGGCGGGAGAGCGGAGGAGGCGGAGGGGGCGCGAAACTGCGGTAGCCAGCGCTGGGCTGGTGGTTGTGGCCGTGTGGGAGGACGAGAGTGCCAGCCCTCGGGCAGCGGCCGGGGCTCTGGGCTGAGCGCGGCCGTGGAGCCGCCGCTCTCGGCCCCCTGGCTCCGCCATGTTCCGCAGGGCACGCCTTAGCGTGAAGCCCAATGTCAGGCCTGGTGTAGGCACCAGGGGCTCCTCCGCTCCCAATCCCCAGCGTGTACCAGAGGCTCCCAGGCCTCCTGAGCCTGCCACCGAGTCTGCTCCGAAGCCAGCGGAGCACACAGATGTGCCTGCGGTGGATTCCGGGGGAGCGGAACCCCAGAAACAGACTCCCGGGAGCAGGTAACTTGTATGAAGCCGAGCTGTTGGATTTTACCACGGAGTACCTCTCTTGCAAGAAGCCTTGTTTTGAGCTGGATGAAACTACTTCCAGCTGTAGTTTTATTCCGTGATCAGAGGTTGCGACTACTATGACTCTGTCACGATCTTAAGATTCTCGAGGAGACAGTGTCTTACAGGGATGGAAATTTAGGCTTAACAATTTTGAAGTCAAGAATATAGATGCACCATCACTTGGAGATTTAATTAATTGTCCTGGAGTACCTTGCACTGAAAGCACTTTGGAATTTTCATTTTGTGAATATTATTAGAAGGAGAGCACCAATGCTGATTGAATTTTTCTCCCTCCACGCGGTGATGCGGTTGAACCCAGGACCTCACGAGTGTGAGGCAAGCGCCCTGTCACCGAGCCACACCTGCAGCATTTGTCAAAGGGAAGAAGCTTAGGTTACTTATTTTGGTTTTTGTGTGTACTTCTTTATTGTTATTATGCTTCCCGAATCAAGACGCCTGGCATTAGCGATAAATGTCACATTTGAATTTAGGACTCTCCTACTTAAGTAGGTTGTCCTCAGGGGCAATTTATTCCTCTGTTAGATGAAGTTAGTACTTCCTTTGGGACAATATTGTGAGATCAGAGACGATTATATAAACTGCCTTGCACGTGACATGGCAGAATAGTTCCCCCAAAGTTACTAGTTTCAAAAAAATCGAAGACAGGATGATCACAACTTTAGTCCTAGCAGTAGGGAGGCAGAGCCCAGCCTGGTCTACATACTGAATTCTAGGACAGCCAGAGCTCCATAGTGAGACCTTGTCTCGGATCCCATTACAGATGGTTGTCTGCCGCTATGTGGTTGCTGAGAATTGAACTCAGGACCTCTGGAAGAGCAGTCAGTGCTCTTAACCATTGAACCATCTCTCCTGCCGAGACCCTGTCTCAAAAACGAAACAAAACAATGGAGAAGAGGTGATGATACACATTAAAGATGTGATGGGTTAATATGATGATTGTAGTGTTTTGTAATATACAGAGGAAGAAGCCAGTAAATCCAGTAAGTAATCACATTAAGTGGTAAGGAGATGGTACAAATTATGTTTGCATAGCAACAATGTTTCTTCTGTTAGAGTTGGTGCTGTGTGTTATTTTGACATTCCAACAATGCACCATGATTTCAACATTTTTTAACTTGGATCTGTTTGAAAATTTCTGATTAGAATAAAAATACTAATATTGGTGACTGCTCTAAAGAGTTTGGAAATTTTTGTTAACTATGTAGGCGTGCATAATGATTAGTATTTTATAAACTGCCATAGGCCATAGACCTGAGACATGCTCTAGAATATTTTAGTTGACACTTAGAGTACATCATTGTGTGAGTATGTATATACATACACACGTATAATTTGTTTGTCTGTTTGGGGCGGGGGGAGACAAGATTTAACTATGTAGCTTTGACTTGCCTGGAAGTCTCTATCTCCTGAGTGCTGGCATTAAAAACATGAGCCACCAGGCCCAGCAGTTTTTTGGTTTTTCTTTAATTTTAATTTTATTTTTATTTATTTTTTAATTAGAGTTTCATCTAGTTCAGGTTGGCTTAGAACTCACTATGCATGAAAAGACACCTTTAAGTTTCTAATCCTCCTGCTTTCCCTTCTGAATGCTGAGCTCACAGGTGTGTGCCATTATGCCTGGTGTATGCAGTGGGGGATGAATGCCAGAGTTCTGCATGCTGTCCAAGTTCTCCACCAGCTTAACTAGATCCCTGGTCCTTCTTCCTTATTTGATGAAAGCATTTGTTTTGCTAGTTGTCGAAACAGTATACATTTAACATATAAAATGCCAGTGATTCATGTGTTACATTCTAAGAGCTACAGTGGAGTGCTAGGGACTGAACCTCAAGGCCTTGAGCATGTTAGACTGAGTTTTATCTATCTTCAGCTTTAGGGAAAGAATTTAAAAGAGATCATTTTATATGTTAAAGCAGCTTCTATTTTTTATAGGGAACTAATGATAAAATATGATAAAAGTAGACTTAAATTATTGATTTAGTTTCTTTTTAAAATAATTTATTATTATTATCATTATTTTTACTACTTTACGTGCATTGGTGTTTTGGCTATCTTTATGTTTGTGTGAGGGTATTGGGGCCCCTGGAACTGGAATTACAAATAGTTGTGAGCTGCTATCTTGGTGCTAGGAATTGAACCTGGGCCCTCAGGAAGAGCACCCAGCGCTCTTAACCACTGAATCATCTCTCTAGCCCCTATACTTCCTTTTGACATTAAATTTTCAACGGATACAAAGTAATTGTACATATTTATGGAGTACAATGTGTTATTTTAATACGTATTTACTATGTGTCACAGTAATGGTATATCACTTTAAAAGTTTATTATTTCTTTGTGTAAAGAGCATTCTAGATCTTTTTTATAATTATCTTGTGATTAAAAAAATGTTGTCAACCAAGTTATCCTACCACAGTATAGTGCATTATTAGAAATAAATGTTAATTCTATTCAGCTACATTCCTGTTCTCGTTTTCTTTTCCTGTCTATTTTCTTTCCTTTTCTAGACAGGGTTTCTCTGTGTAACTCTGGCAGTTCTGGAACTCTCTTTGTAGTCCAGGCTGGAGTCAGAGTCCTGCTTCTGCGTCCCTCATGCTGTGACAGAGGAGTGCATCACCACCCTGGGCTTGTTCTTACACTTTTTAACTAGAACATTTTGGATCCCCTGGAAGTGGAGTTATAGACAGTTGTGAGCTGTCATCTGGGTGCTGGGAATTGAACCCAAGTTTTCTGACAGATCAGCCAGTGCTCTTAACCTTGAGTCATGACTCCAGCTCCGTTTCTGAGCAATTTATATCTAATCTGTACCATAGCCAATATTTGATTTAAAGTGACTAGGTATTTTGTTTGTTTGTTTGTGCTAGGGTCTCATGTAGCCTAAGCTAGCTTCAAACTCACTGTGTTGCTGAGGATGGTCTTGAACTTCTGATCCTTCTGCCTCTACTTCCTCAGTATTGAGTTTACAGACACTTAGCAAAACAACAACAAAAAATATCCAATCCTCTCAGCTATCTAGTTATTAAAACTTGGCTTATTAAGCTTTGTCCTGTGACTTAGTTTTGTTTTTTTGGGTTTTTTTTGTTTGTTTGTTTTTGTTTTTTTGTTTTGTTTTGTTTTGTTTTGTTTTTTTTGGTACTTCAGAGAATTCAGCATATTGTGCTCAGGAACTAAAGTTTGAAAAAGAATAACTTTTTGAAAAAGAGTAATAGTCTTCCTTAGAAGTTACATATACTAAATTGATATTTTGTTTAGCTTTTTTTAAAAAAAAGGTAGTGGTGATGTGTGTGTGTGTGTGTATGCCACATGTGTGCAGGTACCCATGGAGGCCAGAAACTGTCAGATCTTTGGAGTCAGAGTTCCAGGTTCAGTGCTGGGAAGTGACTGGTCATCTGGAAGAGTAGAAGTACACTTAAGCCCTGAGCCATTTCTCTAGTCTCCTTTTGTTTGTTTTGCGACAGTCTTGCCAGTAGTAGCTCAAGCTGGTTAGAGTTCATGGTGTCACTCAGACTGGCTTCAAACTCATGGCAGTCTGTCTACCTCCGCCTCTAGAGTGCTAGGAATGGAAGTAGGAGCTACCACTTAAAACTGAGAAAGTTTTTTTTTTTTTTTTTTTTCCGAGAAAAGGTTTCTCTGTATATCTCTGGCTGTCCTGGAACTCACTCTGTAGACCAGGCTGGCCTCGAACTCAGAAATCTGCCTGCCTCTGCCTCCCAAGTGCTGGGACTGAAGGCGTGTGCCACCACTGCCCGGCAAGCTGAGAAAGTTTTAAAGCAGTGTTGATTGTGGCTCTATTGTAATAAACATAAATCTGAAAAGTTAGTGTTTTTTGTTTTTCATTTTGTTCAATGAGACCTTACTGTCTTAACACTAGTGTATAAGAAAGACGAGTCCTGACGTCTCCTTTTCTTTTTAATTCCAATAGTGATGACAAGACTCCTGATGAGAATAATGCTGCAGCGTCCAGCACATTGTCCTCTGCTTCCCAGAGAAGAAAGCGAGTGTCAAGCACGTCGGGTATTGCTCAGCCTTCTGGCAGCACCCCCTCACAGAGTCACCCCTTATCTACAGTTAATCACGATGCGCCACAGTCAAACCCTACTCCAGCTAAAGAGAAACAGCCATGTTCAGACAGATACCGAATATATAAAGCCCGCAAATTGAGAGAGATGTTGAAAGAGGAGCTGAGAAAGGAGAAGGTGAGTGAGTGAACTCTAGTCCAGGTGTCCTCCTGACCCAGCCTTCCTATAGTCCAGGCTATCCTCCTGACCCGGCCTTCCTATATATAGTCCAGGCTATCCTCCTGACCCGGCCTTCCTATAGTCCAGGCTATCCTCCTGACCCAGCCTTCCTATAGTCCAGGCTATCCTCCTGACCCGGCCTTCCTATAGTCTGGGCTATCCTGACTAAGCCTTCCTATAGTCCAGACATTCTCTTGACACAGCCTTCTAAATCTTGTGCCATGTTTGTTTTGATAGTCATTTAAAAATATTTCATTCATTTGCATTTTTTACTACTTTAGTTTGTCTTTTGGAGATGGTTTCTCTCTGTAGCCCTGGCTTTTGTGGAACTTACTCTGTAGACCAAGCTGGCCTGGAGCTCAGGGATCTATCTGCCTCTGTCTCCTCAACATAGGGATCAAAGATGTGTGCCACCACTCCTGCTATTTCACTAGTTTTGGTGACAACAAGAAATAAGTTTTTAGCCGGGCGGTGGTGGCGCACGCCTTTAATCCCAGCACTTGGGAGGCAGAGGCAGGCGGATTTCTGAGTTCGAGGCCAGCCTGGTCTACCAAGTGAGTTCCAGGACAGCCAGAACTACACAGAGAAACCCTGTCTTGAAAAACCAAAAAAAAAAAAAAAAAAAGAAATAAGTTTTTATAAACATGTAGATAGATATACAAGCGTATGAAAATAGTTCTCACAAAAATGTCTGAGTAATGTGAAATAATTATTTGAAATAAAGTAAGTGTAACTGAGCAATATGAATTGGTAATGTTTTAAACTGAACTATGACAAAAACCTTACAGAATACATGTAGTAGAGTGTGTGTTCCTTTTAATTAATGACAGTATACAGTGGAACAGTAGTAAGGCTGGCTTTCGAGTTAGAGACTTAAGCTTCATTCCTTACTAACAGTGTGATGGGCAGCTCAGTCTTTTTGTATCTCTGTCTTTCCTTACTTGTAAAATATTACCAGTAATAATATCAATACCTCACTGGAGGGCTTTGAAGATTATTCATACATTTGAACTAATGTGTCTTAATATTTAGAAAATAGTGTACAACAAATGCGAGCTATTTAAACTAATTGTAGAATGCCTTGTTTTGGTAGTGTTGGCGCTGGGACTGAGGGCCTCATACATGTGAGGCCTGCTCTGGTCCTGAGCTACATTCCTAGCCAATAAACAGAATTGTAATATAGTGAGCTTTTTATCTAGTATCAGTTTCTTGGGATTTAAAAACTATTAAGGGGCTGGATAGATGATGGCTCAGTGGTTAAGAGCACCGACTGCTCTTCCAGAGGTCCTGAGTTCAATTCCCAGCAACCACATGGTGGCTCACAACCATCTGTAATGGGATTGGATGCCCTCTTCTGGTGTGTCTGAAGACAGCTACAGTGTACTCATATACATAAAATAAATAAATTAAAAAAAAAAAAAA